TGGGGGGGGGGGTGGGGGGGGATGGGGCGCAGGCCATGCACCGTAAGGTGCAATCCTTTGGCCGGCTCCCTCCGCCCTGAGCCCGGTTCCTTCCCTTCTCCACCTGCAGATTCCTGTTCATTTTTTAAGATTCAGCTTCAATGTCACCTCCTCTGTGCAGCCCTCCTGGATACTCTCCTCACAAAGCAGATTTAGTCCCTCCTTCCTGGGTGCTTCCAAACAACAATCCCTGAGTGAGATTAAAAATCCTTGCTCCTAACTGTCATGACCCTCATCATCGTGAGTCCTGTTGGAGACGCAACTGTGACTGCAGAACAAGCTCGAACTTGTCCTGTGCAGTTTCTAACAAGAGCCAGAACCAACCTGTAGGAGCAACACGTGTGAACACCACTCACGAGTAACACTGTGGAGCCGTAACTGCTCCCCCCACAGAAACAAAGGACCGGACGTGACCGGAACCTGACCCCCCAAACCCTTCACATTCCGAGGTAAAGGGTCTGTTGTCCGGGAAGAGCTGGTGCTGAAACCTCTTGAATCTTGCCCCACACCCTGGACCAGGGAGATAGATTTGAGCCTGGCCTCCTGTCCCCTGACCGGCTGAACTCACAAATGACAGCTCTTCCTTTTCTCAAAGCCAGGGCCATCATATTGGCTTCTGTGTGCTTCAGGCAGCGACCCCTTGCTCGGTAACACTATGGACCAGGCACCTGTGCTCATGCATTTCTTATTCCATGTTTACCGCGACCTTACGGAGCACGAGCCATTATCCCTGCTTTACAGCCGTGGCCGTGAATCCCACAGAACGCACATCCCTTGCGCAGGGACCACAGCTCCAGACCTGAACCTACGACTGACTGACCCTAAAGCCTATCTTTTTCCTAATTCACTTTACACTCACCACTGACTGGTGGCTGCTCATGTCCGCGGCCACTTCCAGGACCAGGGAAGTGCCGGTTTCATGATGCACATGCTCCCTCCTCCTCAGTTAAGATCCCCAAAATCCCAGCCAGGAAGGAAGAAAGGGCCCGGAGCGATGAGAAGACAAGAGCCGGCCGTGTCCTGGGGAGGAGGCCCGGGACTGCATGTGCCGCCTTGTGAGATGATGGGGATGCAGAATGCAGCTAAGAGAGCCGCTCGTTCATTCTGGAAAAGGTCAAACTATGGAGACAGTACAGAGATCAGTGGCTGCAGGGCTCAGGGGGAGAGGGGAGGGGATGGGCAGTGGAACTCGGGCCTTTGTTAGGATGTGAAACTATTCTGTGTGACACTGTCCCGGTGGACATGACATTGTGCGTTTGTCAGAACTCACAGGATGTGCAGCAGCAAGAGTGAGCCTGAAGGTGAACTGGGGGCGTTAGTTAATGATCATGTGTCAATAAGCCAGTCGGAGAAAGATAAACATCACATGACCTCACTCATATGTGGGATATAATGATCAACATAATTTGATGAACAAGAATAGATCCAGAGACAAATGGTAGGGGAGCAGGGGCGGGGGGGGGCAACTGGGGAAAAAGGAGAATATGTAAAACTTGAGACAATAAAAGAAAGAAAGAAAGAAAGCCATTTCATTTTCAAATTTGAAAAAAAAAGTAAAGAGAAAAAAGTACCTCAATAATGCAGGCTGTTCATGGAGGGAACTGTGCGGGGAGAAGGGCAGGCTATAGGAGCTCTGTGCTATCTGCTCAATTTTCTGTAACCCTAAAACTGCTCTAAAACGTAAAGTCTATTTATTTTTTTAAGTAAAGAAAAGGAAAGCCATAGTACCATGAGGGGTGTGTCCAGGACATCAGAGAGGGCAGCTAACGCCCTGGCATCAATCCCCAGGAGAACACCTAGTGGTTCCTCTATAAGTAAGCTGAACAGAGAGTGAGCGAGTTGGGAGACCCAACTGCCTGGAACTTAGAGGGACCCTGGCAGTGAGGCCAATCCCCACCCAGAGACTCGGGGGCCACACGTTCGGGGACAAGTCCTGCCCACGCATACCCCTCGGGCAGCGTTTCCCGACTCCTGCGTTAGGGATATTTGGGGCGGGGTCATTCTTTACGGTGGGGCAGGATGGTGACCAGCATCCCTGGCACCAGGAGCATCTCTCAAGTGTGATCATCAAAAGTATCTTCAGCCCTGGCCAGGGGCTCCGTTGGCGCGTCCTCCCAAACACCAAAAGGTTGCAGGCTCGATTTTCGGTCAGGGCGCGTACCCAGATTTCCGGTTCGGACCCGGGTCAGGACGTGTGGGAGGCCAATCAATGTTTTTCTCTTCTCTCTCTCTCTCTCTCTCTCTCTCTCTCTCTCTCTCTCTCTCTTTTCCTCTCTCTCTCAAATCAACAAAGAAACATATCCTCCAGTGAGGATTTAAAAAAAAATCTTCACACATTGCCAACGTCCCCTGGCAGGGTGGGGTGCAGAACGGCCCTGGTTGAGAGCCGCGGGCTAGGTCTGTCTCATCTCTCCGTCCTACCTTGCCCTCCCTGTCTGCCCTGGTCTGGCTGTCTCTTCTCAATGAGCTGATTCGTTTCCCTCCCTCTGGGTTCTCCTTCCCATTTCGGCCACCTCCTCCCTCCATGTTCTCTCCCTCTTTTCATCCTTAACTCCCTTCCACGATCCCACCCGTCCCTCCCTTCCCCACACTCCACACCCCCGGCAGGTGGCCGGCGTCCCTCAACCCTGAATCTCTCTCTCCTCTGCCTGTCCCAGTGCTGTCACCACTGGTTTCTGGCCAGGACACAGAGGAGAGAGACACAGGGTGCTGGTGACCTTGGAGCGGCAGCTCTTCTCACGGCACCGGACTTTTC